ATTAGGGCTCTAGTACAGTTTAGAAGTCCAATGAAAGTTTATGAGTTCAAAGAAAAGATAAATATTTTTAAAAAATTTTGTTGTTATAAAGGAAAAGGTGAAATTTATTTGGAAAATCCTTTAATGGTACTATGAGGAATCCTTTAATAGTACCCGTTTTAACATTCCAAAACGTTTACTGACCCGATTCTCTAAGCGGAACATAAAATTTTATCGGGAATTCCCGATTCCCCAAAAGGGAGTTTATTTATATGTCAACGAAACCTTGCCAAAAACGCAATCATATTGGCAACAAAGTTTTTTTTAACAGAGAACCTGTTACTTACTACCTACTCTAAAAATTTCAAAACTTAAGAAACCTTTTGAGAAGAAATTGTAGCCAATGTTTGTTTACATGCACTATTACCAGTTGAAAGTGCTTGTTGAAGTTTTAAAATAACAGACGAATAAAATTCAGATATTTGTTTATTTCCAAAATTTGCTTCAACTTCAACTTTTAAATACCTTTTAAAAATAATTTTAAAAAATGAAAATTAAAAAAAACCAATAAAGAAAAATAGCAATAGGACTATTTTGACAAGCAATTTTAATAAGAAAAGTAGCCAAATCCATAGACTCATGGCCTTCAAAATAATCGAGAGGAATGTCTGAATTTGTTGATTGTCGACTTGAGGCCATTCTTGGATGAACAGAATCTTTAAAAATTAATATAAAAAATTTGGATAAAAAAATAGGCTTAAAAGGATCTCTAGAGGAAAATTTTGGAAGGCCTAGAATCCGAAATCTTGATAATTTTGGAAGGCTATATGCCCTGTCTCAATATGTTTCCTTCTTTTCGTTTCGAGCGTTGAGGAATGGAAAAGTGTAATGGAAATAGAGAAAAGTGTCACTTATGTAACTTGTACCCAAGTTCTACGGACTCTGGATGTCACGGGATGAGAGAAAAGCCGGATCGGGGTTTCAAAAAATTTTTGGATCATATTTATTGTTAAGGTCGGAAAAAGTCCGTGCTTTAATTATCGGATAACCCGTAACATCCCTGGTAGGACAATAAGGATTTGTCATACTCACATGTAAATATTTTTTAAATTTTATCTAATAGTTCTAAAAATAGAGGGATTCTCTTACTAAAAAATTTATTAAAAAAACAAACTTGAAGATGTTGCAACAATAGTAGAAGTCCCACTAACATTTTCATTTTGTGTAACAACCAACAAATCTTCTTCTACACTCGCAAGTAAATCTTGTTGTGAAGGTTCGTAACGAAGTGCTTGGACTAATTGAGGCAAAAATAAAAGAATATTTGCATTTGTAGTGTTTTGTAGACGTGAAACGGCATAACGACGTACAAAAGGATGAGAAAAATTTGGAGAAAGAAGTTCTAAAGCATCACAGGCGTCGATTGGTTCCCACTCACTTTTTAATTAAAAAATTTTTTTTGTATATTGTCCGCAAAAAGTCTGCAGAAAATGTTTGTTTGCAAGTTTTAAGTTTTGGATTACAAATTATTATTATATTTTAAAAGACAAACTTAACAGGAAAATTTTGAACTTTGTAGATCCTATTTTTATTTCCTCCCTAGTTTCCCTTATTAAAATGACCCCCAAAATCCCCACAAAAAATCACTTACAGAATGACTTGAATTGCTTGACGAACTTCCAACTTTTCTTGCCAATTAACAGAACGAATAAATTTTGTTAAAGCTTTAGGGTTTGATTTTAACCAAAAACGAAATTTCCATATTAAATCACGCTCTTCCATTAACATTGCCTGACAACTTGCTGACTAGAAAAAAATTTTTAATTTAAACAGAAAAATTTTTTTGGTTTATTTTTTCAGTTATGTTCCTTCCTCTTTTCGGGGCCCGTAGAATAAATTCGGGGTTGGATAACCCGGTTAAATAACCCGGTTAAACAACCCAGGGGCAAATAACCCTTAGCTACGGGTTAAAATCGGTAGAATAAATTCAACCCCGAGTTAAGGGTTATTTAACACCGAGCTAGAGGTTATTTAACTAGTTGAGTTACTGGGTTATTTGACCCTTTATATTTTATTGCCAAATCCATTTCGCAATAATTGTTTACGCAATAATTGTTATTATTAAAAAGAGATATAGTCAAATGAAAAAGTTTAAAAAACTTATAAAATTTTTAATTGTTGGATAAATTTTGCTTCAAAAATTTTTGTAAAAGTTTTTGTTAAAAAATTTTTGTTAAAAAATTTTAAAAAATTTTTGTTAAAAATTTTTTTATGTGTTTTGAATAGAAATTAAAATTTTTAAAAATTTTGCAATTTAATAAATGTTTTAATTTTTTGGAAATTATGCATAATTCGCATGTTACCCTGCCCCCTAGTAGGGTTGCAATTTGCCCCTTACCTGCGGGTTATTTAACCCGGGTAATTAATTTATTCTACCGGTAATGTTACGCGGGTAAGATAACCGGGTTATCTGACCCGGTCATTTAACCCGAAGCTAGGGGTTTGAATTTATTCTACGGGTTACGGGTTATTTAACCCCAAGGTAGGGGTTGAATAACCCTTACCCCAAATTTATTCTACGGGCCCGGGAGGGGAGGGGCTTCAGCTCCCCGGCTACGCCCTTGTACGATGGTGCAAAAAAGTTCAAAATTTTTGGTGACCCCCATGTAGGTTAAAGAACCAATTAAAAAGCCATATTTCAAAGTTAAAGGCAAAAAAATTTTTAATTTAAACAAAAGAGAACCTTAATAATAGCCTCAAGTGTGTCTCTAATTGTTGGATTTGGTTGTAGACGTCTATCAATATCCATAGCTCTCGCATTTCTAGTCATCATATGGTGCTTTATTTCACTCAAATTTTCCATATCCAATTCTGGGTCAGCTTGTCTTTCATTTCGAGGTTTGGGCAATAAAGGATCTACATCCAAATCATTTTCAAATTGTTGAGAATGGTGGTGGTCAGTAGAAGAAGGAGCTTCTCCAGCAAAATAAATTATCGAATAAATTGTTAGATCGTCTGAATCTTGAACAATTGGAAATTCAATTGTTAGAAAGAGAGAACGATCGTCAGATTTCGCCTTTAAAAAATATTTCTGTGACTCAAATTGATGAAACAAATTGGTTGAAAATTTTAATTTTTTTAAATTGACAGCTAAGTTCAACCCCTATTCCTTACAAATATCAACAGAAAAAAACCTCTTGTTTAATTTCCTCCAATTTCGCAAAAGTAATTTTATCCAGCCAATCAACTCTATCAATAAATTTTTGATTATAAAGTTTTTCTTTTTTTAACAAATCATTTAAAGGAATCCCACATTTCAATTGTCGATTATTATTTAAATTTTCATCATTATTTTTAAGTAAAGGTGTTGAATCTCTGGCATCTTCTGACGATTCTGCTTGTTTTGCAGGTGTTGGAATATTCATCAAATCCAAATTTGGATTTTCAGTTATCAGTTTAGTCTTGTCAGATTTCCCAATTACTTGTTCTAATTTTAAATCTAAAATACCCGAACGAAATATTGAATGTTTTGAAAACAATTTTTTGGCACATTGAGCGATTAAAACCTGAAAATAAAGTAAAATTAGTGTATAAATTAGTGTATCCGCAAATCTATTCGGGTTAAAATTGGACTCAATTCCCTCTAATCTTGGCTTGTATATAAGTAAAGACCAATTTTTAAAGAAAATACCCAAAATTCTCTTAAAATATTTAAAAAATAAAGACCGGTTCAACAGTCGTTCCAACATCCCATAAAGTTACATGAAGCAAAGCATCCCTGTTTAAGTCAGAATAATTTACAGGAAGGTTTATCCATTCATCAAATTTTTGAATATCTCGAATAGAAGATGTGCCAGTTGGTAAATATTGTCGAAAAGAACTTTGAACACTTCTTCCAATAATTCTTCCATTACAATAAATCTTTAGAAGAAAAATATGTTTAAATGAAGGATATTAGAGTAAAGCTGTCCCAGACATTCCAAAAAAATGCAAAAAAGATTGGATAGGATTTGATCGTGAGAGCTCTCCAATTCAGAGTTGTTAACCGCCAAAACATCCCACTACCGGTTGCTTATTTTCATTTTTGATTTAGCTGCTAGGCTGGGAGGAAGTTTCAGAGGCCTATTCCACTAGGAGCCTATTCCACTAAACGACGTATCGCCAAAATCACTGATCCGCTCCGAAAAATACCCCTAAAATGACAATGAGTATAAACTACAAGGAGCGGAAATTTTTGGAAAAATTTTAAGAAATTTTCCATATTTGTCGGGCGTTTAGATAGCTACCCCCCTCCCACACCCATTTTCAAAATTTTGTTTAAAAACTAAACAAACCGTCAAACGAACAAACATACAACCAGAAGGTGTTGCATATCTTTGCATATCTCCATGACTTGTTAAATAACCAGAAAGTGAGACCAGTCGGATTCTTAAAGGCACATTAATTTCTGAGCTAAATACATAATTGAAATTTTTTCTCATTTTTTAAAGAGAAATAATGCTAAAATTGAGAAAATAATTAAAACGAGATTCTATTCCGCAATTTTATTGAGAAAGGAATATTTAGGTCTAGAAGTCCCTGGGAAGTCTTCGGGCGGAACTAATATTCGAACTGAAAATTTCCGGATACACAGACTTTTTTCGGTTCCAGATATCCGGAACCGCCACCGCTAGGGATACCTTCAGCATAAGAGAAAAAAGAGGATTAATTTTGGAGGTAAAAATGCGGACAAAATTTGCGGAAAACCCCAAACCTATGGATAAAAATTGCGGACGAATCCTTATACCCAACTTTTGCAAACTCTAAATGCATTAAAGGAAAAGAATAAAAAATAAAAGAGAAAATAAATTAAAAAGGTACTTTCACCAACAAAGTTAAAATAAAAATCCTCAAAATTTTTTTACTAGAAATTGAGTTAAAAAAAGTAACGGTAAAAACAAAGTTTTGTGTGTATAGTAGGTGTAGCAATAAAATAAAATATTTTTTTAAAGTCAAAACCATCCATCAAAACAAAACAAAATTCATTCATTAACACGGCGAGCCCGTTTAAGTGTCGATGTCGAAACCAACCCTCCCCCTCCCCCACCAACATTCTGCTGTTCGGCATCTGCAGATTTTGCAATATTGTCACAATTTTGATCGTGTGATCGAGTATTTGGATTGTTTTTGGTAAATTGTTTATCTCCGTTTGTAAGAATATTCTAAAATTTAAAAAATTCACGGGAAATGGAAAAATACAAGAGAATTTATTTTGTTAAAAGACCAAAGAATTTTAAAAATTTGGTTCGCTTTATGATATTATGAAAAGAATTTCAAGAATAAAAAGCGAAAAACGAAAAAAAATCGGCGAATTTTTTGAAGTCGAAAAAATCGACTTTGTCATTTTACTAAGTTTTTTAAAATTTATTTGTGATTGGCAATCAAATAAATAGAATAATCCAAGTTAACCCAAAAAAACGATTAACAAAAAAATACCGTTTTTTGAACCAAAAGTTTTGTCTATATACTTCCACCTAATTTAAACCCCCAAAATCAATAAAAATAAAAAAACCTTTTGTAAAATTCCATTTTGAGAAGACTCATTAACCAAACCATCAGCAGAAGCATTTAAATTTAAACTAAGCGAAACAGGCGAAGTAACCGAAGACAAAGAAAAAAATCTGTCAGTTTCCTCAAAATGTCTCTTTGGAGGCCGTCGGCCCTTAGAATGCCCAGAAACTAAATTTAATGCTGCGCCTGAAGATATTCCAGCAACTGCAGATTCCAATAATTTGTTGAAACCTAAAAGAAAATATTTTTTTGAAAATTTTGTTTAAAAATTAAAGAAAAAACCTTTAATAATATTCCCATTTTCAGAAGATTCTTCAAGATAAGTAGTCTCAAAATTGTATATTTGTTTTTCCAAATTGGACAATTTTTGCTTAAAATGATAAATTTTTTGATGAATTGATGTTAAAAATTTAGACATTTAATTTATATTAGAAAAGTCAACAAAAAATAAATCCCCAAAAGTAGCCCCCACAAAAGTAACAACTACATAACTTCCCCCCAGTTTTCCAGCCGAAAATTAAAAAAACGAAATAAACAAACCAAAACTTCAGAACGTCGTCTAATCAATTCAGACATTTCTTGCTTTGGATCGACATCTTTTGAATGAGCCATTTTCAAAAAAAAATTGAAAAAAATAAGATTTAAGAAAAATCAAAGAATTCTAAAAGTTTAAATAAAAAAAATTTAGAAAAATTGGAATTGTGTCGAATTGTGGGCCCGTTAAAAAATAAATTTAAAAATCATGGAAACACATTTTCTAGGGCTGATTTTATCGAACATTTGGCTTTATCTACGATTTTTAATCAAATACTTGATTTTTAAAAAATTTCATTCAAATAAATTCTCGATTTGAAAGGCCAAAATAAATTAAATCTGACATACTATATTTGACAAAATTAGAAGAACAATTTGTTTTAACCTTTCTAGTAACTTCACGGAAAGGAGTGGACGAATTGTGGGCGCTTCAGATTAGAGCTAGGAATTTTGAAAAAACCGGGACCGGGTCCGGGAAACGGGTTCTGAAAAATGGACCGGGCGGGAACCGGGTCCGGGAAACCGGGAAAACCCGTTCCCGGTTTCAACCCGGTCAAAAATGACCGGGTCCCGGCCGGGAAACCGGGAAATTTTTAATTTGTTGAAATAGGGGTCTATTTTTCCACATAGGGCTGTATTTTTCATCTATTCTCCTATACTTATTCTAAATAACCTCTATTAATGTAAGTGAATGCCATTCACGATTATTTAACTCAAGATCGAATTCCCTTTTCTGAAAAATACGTTCATCGACTGCTGCCTTTTGTTCTTTCGTACTTGGGATTAATGAAAAAATTCAAAGAAATATGTACTACATATGTTTAAATTCTTTCTAAAGCCCTTATATGTTGGCCGAGTGGTTGTTATGTGTTAGTTCCTTCAGAATGTTAGTTCCTTTTAATTCCTTCAGAATCCTTAGATATCCCTTTTAATTCTTTTTAATCTTATTGAACTAAAAATTCTTCGCGCCATTTTTTGCGCCGTAGGCGAAAATTTTGAGAATTTTGATAGGCCTTAGCAGAAAAGAATTCAATTGTCAGAGCTGCCGGCGAAAAAATTTTTCGAAGTTTAGATGGTAATGAAGCCAGAACTCTTAAATTTTCTGCGCCACAGTGAAAATTTTGGAAAATTCATGATTTAATTGAAATTTCTAAGATTTTTTCAAGATTAAAACAGTAAAAAAATTTTCAAATTTAAAATCAAAGTTTAAAATTATTTATTTTTGAAAAGAAAATTTTCTCAGCCCCATTTCCATACATGGACTCGAACCCCATCCCTATCAAAATAACTAGATGAGTGAAGTCAGTCAACTTAACCACTCAACCATCGACCGACAAAAGCAAAATGGAGAAATTATAAATATTCCTTTCCCTTTTCCTTCAAAAATTTAATATCAAAGTACGCAAATACACTAAATATTTTTCCCGGTTTTCCGGTGAAAAAAATCCGGGACCGGGTCCGGGTAACGGGTTTTGAAAAATGGACCGGGCGGGAACCGGGTCCGGGAAACCGGGAAAACCCGTTCCCGGTTTCAACCCGGTTGCTTCAAAAAAACCGGGAAAAGGGACCCGGAAACCGGGAAACGGGTCCGGGTCCCGGACCCGTTCCTAGCTCTACTTCAGATTGGACACAGCCCGAATAGTCGCGGGCCGAATTGTCGCTCTCGACATTTGATTGACAAATTTTTCCCTTTTAAGCGACATATGAATTTAATTTTTTAGATAAATCTTCAAACAATTAGGGGACCATTTTTATTTTTGAATATTTAAATTAAAAGTTTGTTTTTATTAAATATGTCTCTTAGAAGACTAAATAGGATTGCTTTTCAAGTTGTTTTGGAGGTTTTATTTTTTAAAAACTTTTTTTATTTAATTTTTTTAGATGATTCAAAGATTTAAAACTGCAAATACTTTAAACAATTTTGGAAAAGTTGGATTGAAAATTTTGAAGCACAATCGATTTACTTTACGTCGAACTGTTCTTAGAGGAGTAAGTTTTCCTTCTTTTTTGTTTTATCATAGAAAAAGCTTGCATTTCCCTAAGATCCTCAAAAATTCCTGAAAATCTAACAAATTAATTTTGGAATTCCGTAACTGAATGGTGATAATAGTTCGGCTTACCCTCCTTTCATGTTTTACTGACCATTTCGGGCTTTCTTGTTTGATATATAATTTACATATGTATTATTCGAAAGAGCTCTTCTTGCTATGTTAAATGATGCCAAGATTGCTAAATTAGATTATTCGGCCCTATCCCAATATAAGGGCGGAATCGTTTTTTCCATTACTTTTCATTATTTTATAAAAAAGGTCAATTTTCCTTAAAGTTGATGTATGTTGATGTTTGCCTTAAGGAAGAATGGAGGACAGACAATGACAGAAACACGGACGGATACGTCCGTTTTTGTCTGTCCGAGTCTGCCCGTGTTTTTCAGTCCGTGCTCGTCCGTGTTTTGGACAGACAAAACACAGACGGACTCGGACAGACAAACACGGACGAACACGGACTGAAAAACACGGGCAGACAAAAACGGACGTACACGTCCGTGTTTCTGTCATTGCTGTCCTCCATTCTTCCTTAAGGCAAACATCAACATACATCAACTTTAAGGAAAATTGACCTTTTTTATAAAATAATGAAAAGTAATGGAAAAAAACGATTCCGCCCTTATATTGGGATAGGGTCGATTATTCTTAATAAAATTATGAAGCTTAGAAATTCGCTGTAAGAGGTTAAAATAAATGGTTATAACTTTGTTCATTCAAGTTGGATCTCGTTAATTTTGGGTGCTTTCTATTCAGTTCGAAGAGCTTTTCCGAATAATAGTATATAATTTACCATAAATAAGTCATTTTTTATTGAAAATGCTAGAGGGAAATAAGTGAAATTGAGGAAGGAAAAAAGTCTGACCATTCTGTACATAATGAAAAAACAGGGAGGAAAAAGGAGAACCCAAACGTTGGTTTGGGGAACCCCAAAAACTCAGGCCCTGACCAGATCCAGCTAGATCGCCTCCACCTCGATCTTTAAATTTTTCTGTCTCTTGATAAATTTTTCATTTCATTAGTTTCGAGTTATAGCCAGACAACCAGCTCAACTTTGGAGGCCATTTGCTTCCCTACATTTCCGGCATCAACAACAATTAAATCAAAGATTGAATGGTTTCAATTTCATTAAAGACAATAAACCTAAAAGAGACATCCTCCATCTTGTTAGGGTATTTCTTTAATTTTTGGATAAATATTAAGGAGAATTTAAGAATTTATTTGGTACAAATGCTCGTTATAATCGTGGCCTTTCTTCAACTGAAATGCCCAACAATTTGGATGCTTATGAAATTGGTTAAAATTTAAATATAATTTTTGTGTAAATAATAATCATAAAGGGTGCTCTTCCTCTTTTTTAATTATTGAAAAAAATAAACTTTCCCAACGGGATCGAACCCAAGACCCCAAACCCACGGAGTATGTTCGAACCAGTATGAGAAAATTAATTTTTTTTAATAGCTAAAAAAGGTGAAAAGACCGTTTTGATCACTTTATAGCGTTATTTATACCATTTCTCTATTACATTAAACATAATTTCAAAAATATTTTAGGCAAGTACATTGCCTCTGGCTGTAATGGCGCTGTCTTTCAACTCCGTCTTAAACAAGAGTTAGCTAGTAATAATAATATTGATGAATCTCAATTTGATCATCCCTACAAAGCAAGTTATATTCTAACCTATATATCTGTGTTTGCGGACTTTTTTGAGGAATTTTTACGAACTTTCTTTTGCGGATTTAGCGGATATATGAGGAATTTATTACCTAATTTTTAAACATTTAACTCAATTTTAGTTGTATCCATTGGCACTCAAAGTTTTATTTATTGATGGATTAACACAGGAGCGGTTTATTTGGAAAGAAATGGCTTCAGAACTTATTCCACTTGTTAGGCTTCCAAAGACAGTTTTTGATGGAAAATTTGCAAGGTTATTTTAATTATTTGTTGTTTACAGATTAAAATTTTCGGTAATTGTGAACCTTACAGACTCCTTTTTTCTTCCGACTCTTCTCGATAATCTAACCCTATTATGTCCGAAAGTTGTCCGATGTTGGCGTGAGAGTAACATTTATCCAGTTTTCTTACTAACTTTCTTAAGGGCCTTTTCTTGGCGACTTTTTACTGAATTTTTAAAAGATTAAAATCAGTAAATGGTACTTCTTTCTTCGATAATGTCCCTTTTTCTTGTCCACTTTTTAAACTTCATTTCAATATCCGTTCTTTCTTTTTGCAGACCCCTTTTAATATTTTCAATTTTAAGAATAAAAACAATTTCTCGTTCCCATCCAAATATAATCAAAATGTATACAGCTTTTACTGATAAATTTTCTGCATTACCTGAGGCTGAAAAAATTTTGATAAATAAACTACAAAATCGTCGTTTTAATTTACAAAATTGTTTAGAGGATTTTAATGAAGCAAAAACACTTTATGTTGTTATGAAAAGGTTTGCTATTTATTTTTTATTTGAAAAAACCCAACCACAAGTTTCGTTGAATTTTTGTTTTTCGACTTCTCTCGTCCCCCGACTTTCCAAATTTCTTTTTGGTCTTTCGAAGTTGTGTCATTTTTTACTTTTGACGCAGCTTTGGATAAGAGCTTCCAAACACTGATCCTGATATTTTGTTAGCTTACCCGAGAGAGAAAAACTTTAGTGAAAAGAGTACATCCACCGTCTCCAAACTGATCGCTTCTAAATTTTTTAAAATTTTTGCGGACGTCCGCAAAATGTTTTTTTGCGGACTTTTCTTTATTTTTAATCTAAACAAAATTATTTTTAAGATATCGAATGACTCTACAAACTTATCTAAAATCTCATAAAAGAAATTATTTGCAAGCAAGAATTATGTTTGGTCAATTAATGGAAGCAATTGTTTTTCTTCACAAAAATACAATTTGTCATCGAGTAAACTTAAAAAAAGATTTTGGCCTAAAATTTATTTTTAGGATATGAAGTCTGATAATATTCTTTTGGATTTTGATTTTGAAGGTTTTTTTTCAATTTTTATAAACTTATAGGGCTTTTATTCGCACTTTTACGCGTCCAACCAAATTTTTATGCAAGCGATCTACGACGATAAATTCGGTTCTGTTTAAAAGCTGTGGTCCTATATCACGCGTGTGTACCATAACCAATTAGTACTAAAGTAAAAAACCGGGTACTTATGACCATTGATTGGGCGCATAAAAATTTGATTGGACGCGTTAACTGTACAAGAGCCAAAATTTTTTTAAAGATGAAGTGCCACATTTGGTTCTTAGTGATTTCGGCTCAGCATTGTCGAATGGTGAATGGATTTTGCACAGTTCTAGTGATGGGGAATTCAGCGACTTGGGTGGAAATTTAGCTTTGAGAGCACCAGAAATACGTAGAATACGTCCAGGGTTAAATTCATGGGTTGATTATGAAATGGCAGATACTTGGGCTGCTGGAACACTTGCTTTTGAGATTTTTACAAGGTTTGTTAAAATATGAGAAAAATGGGGGAAGGGGGAGGGGGAAGTAATTAGGAGGTTTAGAAAAAAGGTGAAAGTCTGTAGGGTTAAGAGTTCCTTCCCTCCCACTTAACAACTCGACTCATTTAGGCTTATTAATTTTTCCTAAAGTATAATTTTGTAGGAGAAATCCATTTTATGCAGTTTTGAGTAGTGCAACATACAAAGAATCAGATTTGCCTCCTTTACCCACTCGTTTAATTAACCCAATAAAACAAGTTATTCATCAAATGCTTTGTATTGATCCAAAGAAAAGACCGAAACCAGAAATTGGTGCAAATATTGTGGCTATTTCACTTTTTGGGATGAAAATTGGAAAAATTTTGGATGAATTTTCGGTACAAATTTTTTAATTTTTGGGGTTTTCGGAATATATTCCCAAAAGTCCTCAAATTTTGTCCGCATTTTTTGTCTGCAAGTCTTATTTAATTTTTTCAAAAAAGGTTTTTTGAAGGCATAAAGGATATTATGTATTGTGACTTCGTAATGAAATAGAGAAAGTAGTTCTAGCGACGAGGTTTTATAATATATTTTAGTAATAACGTTTATTTTATGCCCTTAAAAATCTTGGAAAGTAAAATGTTCAACTTGCGGATAAAAAGTTGCGGATTTTTGGAAAATTATCGAAAATTTAAGTAAATAAAAAAATTTTTAGAATAAAATAGAAAGTGCAATTAATTCTATTGTTCAACTTTATGCTAGCGAAACAATTTTAGCTCGTTTTCTTAATCCAAAAACTATTAGTAATGCTGAACTTCAGGTTTTTTTTAATTATTTTTAAAATTGTGTTCTAAAGCAATTTTTTGTTTTACGGATCACCATTAGCTATTGGGAAAATTTTTATAAAAAAATCCCCAATAACCGACATTTATGGACTTTTGGTCTAAAATTTTTTGACAAGTTTGACCAAAAGTCCGTAAATTTTTTGTCCGCAAATTTTAAATATGACTCCAAAAATATTTTTAAGCTAGAGTTCCACTCATTTAACGTCCATGAGACGTCATATCTCCATAAAACTTGGGCCAAACTTGTCGAAAAAAAATTTTTTAAATTAATTTTTTAAAGCTTCGGGCAACTTTTCTTTCTCGTATGGATTTTGAAGAATTACACACAGCATTAAATTATTATATTGAAAATAGAGAAGGAGGAATTCAAGGAGAGGAAATTCCTTCAAAATTAATTTCTAATGAAGTTTATTCTTCTTTTATTAATCAAGAGGCCTTCTCATCAGCTATAACAAAATAAGTAATAAATAGACTATAATTTACCTCATAATCTTTCAATTTTTCAAATGTAAATTTAAAAATAAAATTCAAAAAAATTTTCTAATAAAAAACCGTCATAAAAACTACCATTTGACAAAAGCATGAACATAACACAAACTCAACCCTCAAAAAATGGAACGACTACTAAAAGGCTTCGCCTTTTATACTTTTTTTTCAAAGAAATTTTTATTCATTTATTTAGTAAAATTAGAAATTACACAAAAATACAAAAAAAATTTCAAAAAAACCTTTTATTTCCCATAATTTTCAAACAATTTTGGATATTTATTCTTCACTTCATCAAAAGGCAAAAGCACAGCATAGCTTTTATCTTCCAGTTTTAACAAAAAATAAATTGTTTCACAACAAGAGGTTTCTCCAATAATTTGAATTGGTTTTTGGCCAAAACAATCTCTCTCTAATTTTGATAAACTGAAAATAAAAAAGTTTTTAGATTTTAATTTTTGGAGTTGGATCTGCCTGAATTTAAAAATATATTTATTTGTGGTTTTTCGCTGATAAATTTTGCAGATTTTTACGAAAATTATATTTTTCTTAGGATGTCTAGCCCTAATCCACTCCCCACTCAAAGCAGAATTAAAACTTTCTTGCTCTGAACCCCCCTCTTCCTTTTTCCAAAAAATTAGTTTATTATTTACCTTGGAGTTTCCACATCGACTCTAACGGTCAAAGGCGAATTCGGATCGACATTTTCCAATTGAACCATTTTTCTAAAATTAAAATGTCTAAAATAATAATTTAAAAATAGGTAACAACTGGTTAAAAACCATTTGTGACAAAAAAATTTTCGGACAAAACTTGCAGACAAAAACTTTTTTTCAGACAAAAAATTCAAAAAAAAATTTTATAAAAATCAATTAATTTCTTCTTCTTCCTCCTCTTTAATTTCAATATCAGTATCTTCCACCCCTGATGAAATAGCTCCCACGTCTGTTTCTTCTTCTTCTTTTTTTGCCTCTAATTTAACTTTTGCCTTCTTTAAAGATTTATTTAATGAATTATTAAAATTATATTCCTTCAATTCTTCCAAAATTCTTTTTCTTTCCTTCATCGGTTTTCCAGCCATTTCTTCAAGTTTTTCCTTACAAAACGCTTGGCGTTCAGTTACTGCATTGAATAATTGAGTTACACCTCTAAAATTATTTTTTTGTGGACAAAAATTTTCAGAAATTTAAGAAAAAACCACCTATCCAACCTAAATTTGTAAAGATAAAGCCAACTAACCCGAACACAGAAAATTTTGGCCCTATCTCAAAAGAACCAGTTTCCAAACCCGTAACCACATTGACTTAAAAATCCAAACCTTGTAGCAACGTGTGTCAATTTCCTCTCCCTTTCTTTATCCAATCCATAATCTGGTTTAACATAACCCTGACGTTTAGCATCCATTTAGAAAAAAAATTAAATTTTTCTGTCAAAATAATTTTAAATTAATTTAAAAATAAATTGAATTTTTAAACAAATATAAAATTTTTTAAAAATTTCTAATAATTTTTTCATTCATTTATCACAGTAAATATATTTAATTAAATTCAAAAAATTATTTTCTTTATGCATAAGAAATTACAAGCCAAGCAAAAACAAAATAAAAAAGCATAAGAGGGTAATATGAAAGAATTTTTCTCTTTGGTGGTTGGGATCCAGACATAAATTTTGTTGAAGCTTTTAAAGAAAAAAGGAATATTAAAAATTAGTTAATTAACAGGTAACAGGGATTTCTCAAATAAAATTTAAAATATTTGGTTAAAAATCATTTGCGAACAAAATATTCCCAACAGCTATTCTCGTTAATTTTTCATTAAACGATTCTGTGATTTGTGATCCAAAAATTGTTAGGAATCGTGATTTTCGTAAATCGAATCAGTAGGATAGAATGGGACCCGAATTTACTTTTATTATGATTCTTAGTTTTTGGCATTTGTAAAGAGTTTTTGCAGTTTCTAGAAATACATACTATATTTTGAGTTAAGCACAGGCCTAATCGCCTTAATTAAAAAAGTCCGCAAAAATTTTGCGGACTCCAATTCAACCTAACCTTAACTTTAAATAAATCCACAACAAAACCAAAAAAACCCTTCCCCCCCTTCTCCCAAAAATTAAAGATATATTTACCAACCATAATAAGCCCATCCAAGTCCAATAACAGTTAAAACAAGCCTTACAATTAAATTAATTTTCATCTTCTTTATAAGTAATAATTGAACAGATTTAATTCCAATAGAAGAAAAAACAAATGGAAGTAGACAATATCCAATAACACAGAGGGATTGGAAGAATGAACTGAAAAAATAGTTTAAAAATTTTGGTTAGTTTTTTATGTTCCCAAAAAGTCCGTAAATTTTGTCCGCAAGCTATATTATTTTCTATAATTGGAGGTATCTTAAATTGGAGGTGTTGTGACGTCATTTCAAATGGTTGGCATTTCGGCGCGGCCCGCTTATGAAGTCTACTTAAATCGAGGGGTTAGCAACCTACTCCCTCTCCGGTATAACAGACAAAATTAACGGATTTTTGTGAGAAATTTACATTTTTCCTCCAAGCAATTTAGCATTAAGCGTAACCACAAGAGAACCAAAAAATGCCAAAGAAAATATTTGGGTAAATTGTGCTCCCTTCTCAGCTCCTTGCAATAAACTAAAATTTTGAAGAAACTTTAAAAAAAAATATTTTTTTCCAAATTTACAGTGAAAGAAGCACACAAATAAATAGAGGACCCCAAAGATCCCAATCAGCAAGTACATTCATTTCATTCTTCTGAGGAAATAAAACTTGCGAAAATTTTTCATAAAGGATTTTCAAGTCTCGATTCTAAAATTTAAAAAAATAATTAAAAGTGAACGCTTTATGCGAGTATTTGAATTCAGAAAAAAATTCTTTTTCTTAAAAAAAATTGCCTAGCCTATCCGAAATAAAAAGTCAGGAGTTCTTGTGACAAACGAAAATGTATCCATAAGTTAATGGAAGCCCAAAAAGTTCAAAAAATTAAAAACGACATCCGGTAATTGGTTCTAGAAAACCTTAAACGATCTTTTTTTGGTTCAGAAATGTTTTTATCTAAACAGCCCTATCCAAAAATAATTGAAAAAAAGAGTAAAAAATACCAAAGTGTCTTTAATGCTTTCATCTAAAGTATCAAACTCGCAATCAAACTGAACAGTGTTTCCCAAAACTTTTTTCGAATCATTTCTCCCACCAATATTTCCACTCAAGTCTGTAGATTTTAATTGTTTGTTTCCTTCTAATTGTTCGCTTTGTTGAATTTCTTTTTCCAACTTGAATTGAATTTAATTTTAAAATTTTATCATTAAAGAAACCTGTTCTAAATCAATTGCAAATGACAAATTTGAAGTCATAGGAAAAAATAATTTTTAATCAAAAATATTTTCTAAAAAATTTAAAATATTTTTGTAAATAACAGATAGCTTTTAATGGATAGCCAGGACCTGGTAGTCCTTCTAGCTGTGATAAATGACCAGCGATTCCAAAAGATCACTGGTTGCAAAAATGGATTTAAGTGATAGCCCCATAGACTCCGAAAACCATAAATGTGGGGGAAACAAAGCTCTACAAATAAAAAACACCGAGATGCGCCTACATACCGTATTTGCTCTAGTAATCCCCCAGGGGGATTATTGTTTCAACCCATCTCTAGGGTGGGGGATTAATAGAGCCTGGGGGATTATTAGAGTGGGGTAGAAAGAGGGGGATTATTGTTTCAACCCATCTCCAGGGTGGGGGATTAATAGAGCCTGGGGGATTAATAAAGGACTGGGGGATTAATAGAGCAAATACGGTACATATATTTTTATAGGTATCAGGGATTGGTCAGGTTGAGAAAAAATAGAATCTAGTTTCGTTCTAAATTTTTTGGGTTGGTCCCCAGGCAAGGGCATTCTGAACGTAAAGCACAAAGCAAGTCCCATTTATATTCGGGTTCAAAAGGGTCAAAAACTGCGGAACGATTTCTGGTTCTTTGGAACTGGGAAAACAATTAGGAATTTACCACGCATTTTTGAGGAGATTAAACTAACCTCTAACATAATCTTGTAATAAATGAAAATATATTAATATACAAAAAAATATTATTTCATGGAACATTCCAAAATTAAAAAAACAAGAAAAATTTTCTTTCATTAAATTTTAACATAACAAAAAGCAACAAATTATTTCCAATATAATCCAAAACCTTTTTTCTTCTCTAACAATTTCCACCTCAATTTCGATAACCACGCGATGCACGACGACCACGAGCGCGTTCAAATTTACGACCTACAAAAAATAAAATTAAAAAAATTGATTTTTAGCGTTGGATGAAGACAAGGAGAAATACAGGGGGAAAAGTCCGCAAAAGTTTGTCTGCGAGAAAAAAAGTCGACAGGAATTGCATTCAAATATTTACAAGTAGGATTGTTGGTTTGAACCAAACCGGTAGCCCAGAGGATTTTAAGTCCGATTCCTCATTTCGGTTTCGGATATCCTAAGATTTTCTAAGAGGCGACAGACCTAGTTATAAACCGATAACCTTCTAATGTCAGACTAGTTTTTGATAATCCTCCTATTTTTGATGCTTAAATCCTGCAAGTCTTGTAATCGTCCCACGACTTCACAGGCAGCTTAAAGGGAAGAAAAGGGAAGAAACGTGACTCATCAGTTTGAAAAAGACTAACGATAAGCATAAAAGAACTCTTATTGTCAAAAAACTTAACAAACCTTTAGAACGAACCAACGGTTTTGCATGGCTCCCGGGAACACCAGGAGGAGGTCCAAAGTGCTTCTCAGCCTCTCGCGACTTTCTCGGTCCTTGCAAAAGCATCGTATTTTCCCCTTTTGGAGCTCTCAAAGCCAATTGATCGAAAGTTATAGTCTCTCCACCAGCTTTAATAATCCGAGCCCGAGCTGCTGTAGTAAAACGCAAAGCACAAACAGTCATTGCTGGAACTTTATAAATTCGTTTGTCATCCGTCACAGTTCCAACACAAACAACTATTTTCTTCTCATTCCCTAAAAAATTTTTTTTGAAGAAAAAGGGAAGGCCTTGGACAAACTAAAATGTGTATATACCCTAATTTGCCATAAGCCCTACCGACAGCAAGAACCCTATCGACCCTCTAACCGAGCAAAACCCCCCACCCCTAATTAAATTTATAAATACAAACCTGGACGTTTAAAGTTACGGACAATACGAGAAATCGAAAGAGGTGGCCGATTACGTTTTGACATATAAAGACGTTTAAGCACAACGGCATTGAAACGCTTTTTAGTATCCACACGTTTAGTCAAATAACGATAAAGCTTGACCAATACACGCAAATAAGGGTCATCACTTTTTGGCGCTGTGCGTCGAACTTTTCGATCATATTTGTGGTCAATATCGATTCCCATTTTGTTTTTAAATTAAATTTGCTTCACTAAAAAAAAAATAAAATATAGTAGAAGCCTAAACCGAAAAAAATCTCAACGTAACCTAACAAAAAAATTTTTTCAAGTTGGGTAGGGGACGATTCAGTATCGCCGATTCAGTATTGGCCGATTCAGTATTTGGGCTTTTTGGCCATAACTTTTTGCTCGATCAATATTGTAGGAATTATTATATATGATTTGATAGGTCTCGGGGTGCTGCATCTTTTTCATAATTGGACTGACCTGATCTTATACTCTACAAAAAGTTATCACTGATAAACAACGTCACAGGCATAAAAGATCGGTTTTCACGCTGTAACTTTTTTTGTGATCATCAGATCAGATCGGGCCAATTATGAAAAAGATGTCGAATCACGAGAGCTTTCGAATGATATGAGAATTATTCGAATCGGTCGAATATCAGGAAAGTTATGGCCATATACTGAATCGGCGATACTGAATCGTCCTTAACCGTTCAAGTTTGTTTAGTTTTTGGCATAAAACATTTTGCAAAAATCATATTTTGCCAATAAGGGTAAATTCCCAAATTTTGCCAATGAGTTGGTTGGCAAAATGTGGATAAATTACCCTTATTGGCAAAATATGATTCTGACAGAATATTAATTGCCTAAATTTGAGAAGCCAAGTCGATTGATTGCCGATGAATGAGAGCTAAGAGAAAGTAGCGCTGCATTCGGATTCGTCCCATAGATTTATAAAAAGTCAATTTTGTGTAATCTTCTTCTTAATTAAGCCTAAAAATGTCATCCTCCTTTGTTGAAATTTCAAAAGATTTGATTGGTGGCCAATTTTTGTTGCGTTTATTCTCTTTTCTTTGCAATTTTGCCCTTTTAAGATTTACAGATCCTTCAATTTTGGGATTTTTTAATGTCAGGTTTGTTTTTTTTAAATAACTTTTTTGTATTTTTTATTTTTTAAAGGATTAATCTAATTTACAATACTATTGGATTCCTTTCTCGAGAACCTGTGAGAAAATTATGTTTAAATTCTGATGTTTCTTTGACTGAGGTTGGCATATATTCTTTTTTCAGGTTTTGCTTAGTTTTGGTTTAGTTGTATAATTCTGAGTTTGTAGGCAGTTTGGGTTTTTTTCGAGTCCATTCTCCCAGTATTTTTCTTTTTTCTGAACCTTTTAGGTATTTTTTTTGATATTAAAGGAAGGCGTTTTGGTGTAGTGGTATAGTTCTGGGGGCGTGGATAGTTTGGCCTTGGTTCGAGTCCAAAGTTTTTGTTCAGTTGGTCTAGCTAAATTTATTTTTTTCTCTTTGGGATCACATATTATTTTTGAGACTCGAAAATTTTTATACGACGCAGAAATTTTTATCAAGGAATGCCCCCTCTTTTTTATAATTTCTATCCAATTTAGTTCATTAATCGCCATTTTTGTCTCTACTTTTTGTTGTACTATTTGGTTTTTATTTTGGACTGGATTTGATGAACTTTCAATTAGTAGCAAATCATATCTTTTTATACTTTTGGTGTTTAGTTTTTCTGTTTGTATAGAACTTTTTGCCGAACCAATTATTATAGAACAACTTAAATCTGGAAGGTTTTTTTACTTTAAATTTTTTATTTTGCAGACTTTTGCTTACGAATTTTTATTTTTCAGAACAAGGAATTATGTATTTAATGGCGCAATTTTGTTATTGCTTCAAAAATTTTTGACGATTGTTATGCTTTTGTTTAAAGTTAATCCTTTGGTCGCTTTTAGCCTTTCTCAGGTTTTTTTTCTTATGCCTGGGAAAAGTTGGGTCTGTCTTTGGTTCCCACCCAGTCAGTTTTTGGGCTTCCTCATTTTTTTCAGGGCCTTGTTTTGGTTTTTGTTAAAATTGAGGTTCTCGCTTTTGTCGACTTTTGTTTTGGTTTTTTGGTACAAATCCTGGGGTTTACCTGGGCCTAGATTTTTATAGACTCCAGGCCCGGGATCTTACCCACTTCAAGATTTGAGGACGTCCGCAAATTTTTTGCGGATTTGAATACTGATTTTTCTTTTTTAGTTAATCGCCTCTCTCGTCTATTTTTACCTTTTTATCCGTGATAACAAAAAAAATATATTCAAAATTTACAAAACCTCAATTTTGCAATTTTTCAATTTGAAAAGATTTGATAAAGGACGTTTAAAATTACTTAAAGTTTATCTTTTTCATTCAATTTTGAAACAATTTCTGACGGATGGAGCTAATTTTTTGATGGTTTTCTCAGGCTCTGTTCCTCTTAAAATACAAGGTTTTTCAATTTTATTTTAAAAATGCCGTAAAAAATTGCTGATAAATCCGCAACTTTTTGCGGATTTTATTTTATATCATAGTTATGGTTAGACTTAATTTAAGAATTTGCGGATTTGTCCGCAATTTTTTGCGGATTTTTAAATTTATTTTTAGCTGTTTATGATGCAGTTGATCGTTTAGCAAGTTTATTTGTTCGTTTAATTTTGCAGCCATTTGAAGAATCTGCATTAATTTATTTTTCAATAAATTTAAAAAGAGAAGGAGAAAACGAGGAAAATAAAAAATTGCCTAAAAATGTTTTGGAAACATTTTTAATTTTTACAAAATTAATTTTTATTTTTGGATTGATAATTTTTCCTTTTGGGGTTTCTTATGCTAGATTGGCTGCTTTTTTGTATGGAGGGAAATTATTTATGGAAAATAATGGTATTTTTTAATTTTAAAAAATTCTATGTCCGCAAAAAAGTTGCGGACATCCGCAACTTTTTGTTAAAAAATTTTAGTCACATTCTGAAAGGTTCCTTTGATAGGCAGAAAAACCAAATAAAAAATTTTTTAAAAATTTTTCCAAACAAAAAATATTTTTTTAGCTGACCAACTACTTTCTCTATATTCAATTTATTTGCCTATAATAGCTGTAAATGGTCTTTTTGAATGTTTTGTTTTTGCTCAATTAAATGCTGAAAAGGTATTGCCCTCCAACCCTAACTATAAGATACCCAAAATCCTTGAAATTTGGTTTTTAAATTTTTATGCCCACAAAAAAAGTTGCGGACATCTGCAACTCTTTTACGGACATAAAAGTCTACAAAGTTTCTGCACAAAGCCCTTTCAAACCCCTCGTCAACCCGAGACAGGAAAAGTTTTCATGGGGGAATGTTTTTTGGTGCCTAATGGGTATCCTTATAATGCTGTTTAATTAATTAAAATTAATTTTTTAAGGTTTTACTTCATGCAAAATTTTTCTCATTTTCTGTTTTTGTTCATCTTTTTTTAAATTATTTTCTTTCAAATTATTTGGGTGTTAAAGGCTTTATAATTGCAAATATATTGAATTATTTGGCTAGAATTTGGTTTAATTGGAGATTTATTTGTGTTGCTGTACAAAAGGGGGAAAGGTGGAGGAAAATGTTGCCTAGCAAAAATTTGTAAGAAAATTTTTTTATTCTATTACAGTAACCTAATCATACGATAAACCCTTTGAGACTGAAAAAACATAATAATGAGAGATGAGTAAACTAATAACGAGAGGTGTATCTTAAAGGTTTGAATGTTTAGGTAAGCTAGAAATCAAACTGATATCGATCTCGGATTTATTAGCGGCAGAACAGCAGGTTAGAAAGAATAAAGTTTTGGTCAAGTGGATAAGAGCGCTGACCACTCTTAAACCTATGGGTCGGTGGTTCGAATCCTTTCAGGGAATTTAATTTTTTCTAATTAAATAAAGATTTAAAAAAATTTTTCTTAGATTATTGGCACTTCTTACAGCGTGGATTGTTCTTTTTACTTCTTCATTTATATTCTACTGGCAAATGACCTTTCTTTCACAATTTACCCATGTTTTTGTCGGATGTTTAATGCTTTTATTGATTGGATTTGTTTATGTGAAGAACGATTTTGTTGAGTTTAAAATGTTTAATTTAAAAGATAAATAGGGTTAATTTTGTGGAGGACTAGCGAATTTTTGTAGATTTGAAGAGAGCTTTTTAAATTTTTATTAAAATAAATTTTTATGCTTTAAAAAAGAGAAAAGGGAATACATTTCTATTTAAGTAGTTGATAATTTGGGCAGGCAATAAATTTTTTATAGTGATCGGAATTTTGTACCGGAAGTACCGATGAACTTCAAAGATTTTTTTTATTTTTATGTCCGCAAGTTTAAAAAGATCCGTAAATACCTTAATCCGCAAATAGCTATAAATACCTAAAAAAATACCGTCGGTAGTACATACAGTCCGATCACTAAAATTTTTATGACTAATTACAACAAAAATGGCGAAAAACATTTTTAGTTTGTTATTTTTCTCCTTCAATAAATTTATTATTATTTTCATTAATTTCTCTATTATTACTTTGTTTTGAACGTTTTTGTTGTTCTTTATTTAATTCAATTGGGGCAATTAAATTACTGCTATGGCATATTCTTGTTTTATTTTGGTGATTTCGATCGAGTGAACCCGTTGAAGAATTTTGAAGTTTTCCTTTTTGGGAAAAAAAACTTTTTTTTAATTTAAAAAATGCTTAAAAACCTTTAATACGTCGTTGTCTAGGTGGGGATGCTTTGAAAAAAAATTAAATATTTTTGAGATTTATTTAGGATATATTAGGGGAATAATGAAAAAGTCTGTCAAAAATTGAGAAAATGTAAATCCGTAAAGATAACGGTCATTTGAAAATTCATCAAGAATTAATAATAACTTTCAGACTTTTGGGAAAATGGAGGAAATTTTTGGAATATCGCTTACTTATCATTATCAATTTCAAAAAATTAATTCTGAAAAAATCCGGCGAGTTTTGTCCGAAAAAAATTTTGTTGTCTAACTTACAAGGGCAAGAAGCAACACCTCCTCCACCATCACTAGAACGTCCTCCCTCTTCTTCCACCACAATTTTTTGTCTTCCTTTCCTTTCATTTGTTGTTCCGTAATTTTGTTGTTGACGTTTTAATGCCATTCTATCAAGTATTTCTGAGTTTACAAGAATACTTGGGCCTTCCTCCGGTGGTAAATAACCTCTCAAATTGAGTAGACTGGAAAAGAAAAAAATTTTTGGATTTAAAAAAAGTTTATTTGGGGATTATTTAGACTTTTGGGAATAACTTGGAGGGATTAAAAAATAATATGGGATGCATAACGGATCTAAACGACAATACATTACCCACCGAAATAATTTATAAAAAACCTTGGATATTCAGGAACACAAATAGCATTCAAAATATTTTTAAAACAATTTCCAGAATTATAAGGATTTTTAACTTGAGGATGTAATTTTTGACTAAAAGTTCCTTTAATATCTTCGTTTGTAGTTTGTCCAAGAGCTAATAAATAAATGTGAAAACCAGAAAGACCCAACACAGACCAAATTGAAATTATGTTAATTACACCTAAAAATTGTTGGAAAAACATTTTGTGGACAAAGTTTTGAAAACCTGTTAATAATGAAGGTGGTGTTTCCTTCAAAGCATCCATAAATGTGCCTTTTTCAATACTCACTGTGTATATAAAAAAATTAAAAAAGAAATGTTTGATATTTGCGGACCTTTTTTGCGGATTTTTTTGTTTGTGAAAATATGGGGAGTGGTGACTAGTTTTTTTTGGTTTGGGGGCTAATTCTCTTATTTTATAAAAAATATAAATTTTATACTCAAAAAACACCTCTTGAAAAAAAACGATTTTACAATCATGGAGAAAGATGAAAAAAAAGCCCATAAGAATTGTCCGCAAAAATATGTCATGCAGGCATTTCTTGCGGACTTTTTTGTTTTTTTGAAAATTAATTAAAAACTAATTCCTCTTACACAAATAAAAATGTAATCCAACACAAACACCCATAAAAGCATCTAATATCCAAAGAGATGTAACAAACATAAAGAAATGTCTATAATTGCGTAAACCAATGCAATTTCCTAGCCAAGGGCAATGATGATCGAAATTTAAAACACAATTATCACAAATTGAACAATGCCTGGAGGGGAAATAAAGGTTAATTATAAAATTGTTGAAGTCTTTCCTCTTTCTTAAGAAAAGTTTTTAAGTTTTGTCCGCAAGTTTCGAGGCCTAATTATTGGAATTTAAAAAGGAAAACAATAAAAGATTATAAAAAAATTTTAAAAATTAAAAAAACTTTTTTGATTCTTAACCGATTTAATTATTACATCTATCGAATTTATGAAACAGGCTTTTATAGTCAAATGAATCCTTTTAGGTAAAATAATCTCTACATTCAGAGCCTTCAATTGGCATAATAATTCTTTAAATCGGTTAAGAATCAAAAAAGGTGTAGGCAAAAATTTGCCACGAAACTTTCGGTAAAAGTTGCGGGCAGGAAAAATTAAAAATTAATTTAAAATAAAACTAACGAAGATCTAGGAGGCCTAAAAATACAACAAGTAAAGCAATATTTTAATTTAACTTGCTGGCCACGAATATTAACTATTCGAGTTCTAGGTTGAAGCCATTCATCACGTTGGAAGAATGGATCTTTTTTTAAATTAAAAAATTTAAAAAAATGAAAAAATTTTCTGTCCGCAATCTTTATCCGCAAAAATAAAAAAATTTTTATTTAATTTTTTGCAGACAAAAATTGCAAACAACAAATTTAAAATTAAAAAAAACCAGATTCTTGGCATTGTTTCTCCAATTCAAGAACTTCTCTAGGAGTAGCACGAGGTATAATACCTGGATCGGTAAAAGCTGCACGTAAAAGAGAAGAAATAACCAAAAGAAAAAGTAAACTAGAAACTATTGGAATTGCAATTGATACTTTTTGAGTTAAAAATGGTAAACTAGAAAAAAAGGGGAAAATTTTAATTTTTTTAAATTTAATTTTTGGCGATTTTCGTTTAATTCCCCATAAAAATCCCCAACTTTTTGTCCGCAAGTAAAATTTTCTGAAAAGACTTTTTGGATGCATTAAATACTGTTAAAATTAAATACGCGAAGTATTCTCAATTTTGCGACATAAAGTTTGTAGTGACAACAATGTCTTTTGTGTGTGTCTTTTGTGACCTTTTTAGAAAATATTAAAAAATTTGACTTGCGGATAAAAATCATTTTTTAAATTAAAAAATAAAAAACAAACTCAAAAATACAAAACAGGGTCATAGTAAAAATTATAAGTAGAAATGTTAACACGAAAACTGAACTTTGTCGAGCCATAATAAACCTTTAAAAAAAAGAAAATTTTTTAGTTCTTTTTAATTATGCGGCAAAAAAAGTTTTCAAGTTTCGTCCGCGGGAGCTGTCTCCAATTAAGTCAGAAACAGTCCTGTTTCCTCCTCTTGACTGATTAAAAATCACAAAATACCCATGCATAATTGCAACTTTTGTGCCAAATATTTAAAAATAACCAAAAAATTAAAAAAAACCTTCCATCACAAAATACTCTATTTCTTCCTTGATGTCCTCTCCATTTTCTTCCATTTTTACCAATTTTTTCTTCTTTTTGTAAAATCAAATTAGGAGATATTTTATTATTATTTAATTGAACTTTATTTGTATTTAATTGTTTTCCTTTAATAATTACAGCAAATTGGGAAGAAGAGGAGGAAGGGGTTGTTACTTGTCTTTGGTCATTATTTATATTTACTGAAATAAAAAAAATAATTTTTATTTTGTGTCTATAAAAATAATTTTTGCAGACTTTTTGGACCAATATTGGACTAAAAAGTAACCCAAAAACTTAAAAATATAGATCTAAAACTTAAAAAGAGGAGTGTCAGTTATTTATTCACAAAAAGTCCGCAACTTTTTGAAGCAAATTACAATTTTTTCAATAACCGGCATCCCTAGTAATAAAAAAATGTGCCGACAAAAGTTGCAGACTTTATTTATAGAAAAGTTTAACCTTATCTTAACCCAAAAAATATTCAAAAAAAACCTCCTCCTCCTCCTATTTCCCTTCCATTAATTTGAACTTCTCCCTTTTCTACATCTTTATCAGAAAATGTTGTAGATTTCATCTGCCCGTCTTTTCCAATAATTACTAATTGAGAATGTTTTTGAGGTAAATATAAATTCTTATTGTAATTTTCTAATGTTGTTAAATGTTCAAATGGAACAAGTTTTGGTTTTGCTTAAGAAAAAATAAAAAAAAATTTTTTTTACTTTATGCGGACACTCTTAGAGGTCATGTTTACGGCTTATTCTTTTTAATAAATACTACATATCAGCAATAAATTCATTAACCCGCTGTTAGTCTTTCTTTTCAAGCAAATAAAGGTAAAATAATTATTTAAAAAAATAAGGTATAGTAATTTAACTCCACACTAATCTATGAGTCTTATGAAACTTTACCACTCTTAAAAATATTTTTGAGATCATAACTTTTCATTTAACCGATAACAAATTAATTTAACTCATAAACTAGACTAGAGCCAGTAATTTTGCGGAGCTGAAAATTTCTTATTCTATCAAAAATTGAAACCAAAAAACAGAAAGCTTTTTTTGAATAGTCCTTCCCTCTAAAAATATTTTAAAAAACCTTTAAATTCCTCAAATTCAGTTTGCCATTCTTTATTGGTCTTATGACTTTGATGTTTATTATATCGATGGATACGAGGGGTCTTTTGATAAGGATAATGGGTTGAAGCCCGACGACGATGATGAGCACTTAGACTGCTGCCTTTAAATAAAAAAATTTTAATTAAAAAAATTTTTTTTTAAAAAGATGGCATTTAATCCAATAATATGCAAATTTTTGCGGGAAATGAGATCAAATGTCATCTTTTAAATTTTAATAACAGAAATCGAAGAGAGAAACCTGTACTGCTACCACAAAGTGATTGACCCCCTGAATCTGTGTCCAAAAGTAAATCACAGAGAGATGATTCGTCCTACAAAAAGAAAAATTGAAATTATTAATTTCAGAGACGTCTCACATGTTTTTAACGTTCGAGATAAAAATTTAAATTCTGAGGGTTTTGAGGGAATGAAAAAATACTGTAAAATTAAAATTATGGCTTCCAATTTCTGATCGAAAAAAATGGATATCTTGTACCCGGCCCATTCTAGAGCTGGATTTGGTGTTTCCCTGAAATCCTGCACTAATAGTAAGTCTGTGGATTTAGAAATCGGTTCCGGCCTTGAATTAGAGGTATGGGAATTAAGTAAAAATCGTTAAGCAAAAAGCAAGCAGCAAAAAAACAAGCCAAAAAAGGCCCACAACAAACCCCTTTGTTAACGTCGTAAAGTCGCCGGCTAAATAAATGTCCACCCCCTCCACCACCACTCGCCGAGCGATGCGAGGTACCTCCACCAACTCTCTTCAAGTAGGCATGACTAAATCATTTATTTTTAAAAAAATTTTATATTTTTTTGAATTTAACCTGAATTCGTTATTACGCTCAACGTAAGAGAAGATAATTTTGAATAGAAAGAAAGGAGAAGTTAACTTAAAAAATTGCAAAGCAAAGTTAATTTATATGAAGAAATTTGGTTTGGTTTTGAATGTGTTGAATAACACTACACTTACATAAAAATCACCGAGTGTCTTGAGACAGATGCTCCACGACAAAACGCTTCTATGTGATTTATGTATTGCGATTTGTCGCAGCAGCAACCCCTTGTCTTGTCGCAAAGCAATTTTTATGTAAGTGTAGCATAAATGGAAAAATTAATTAAAGGTGTCAAACCAAAAAGAAAGCAGGTTAGTTTAAAAAGAGGAAAACGCAAATATTAAAAACAAGGTTAGAGCCAAAGATGAATAAATTAAAAAATCAAAACAAACCTAATTAATTGGCAATTCCAAAAAATATATTTTGTAACCAAAACAAAATTTAACAAAAAAGAATTGATTTACGTCCTTCAAAAGTCAAAGAAAAAATCATTTTCAAAAAAATTTCGCTCTTTGTTGTTTAACACTAAAAAAGAATTTCCGCTCTATTTGACTAATTTTAATCAAAACCTAATGAGAAGAAAATTAAATTAATTAATTGGAAAATAAAGGCAGCAGCAATTAAACAAAACAAAAATGCAGAAAAAGCTTAACTTGAATATTTCTAAAAATTAAATTCTGAAAATTGAAAAAAATTACAAAAAAACCGGAAATGATGAAAGCAAATTTACAAAAAAGATAATGTTAATAAATTAGATATTTTAAAAATTCAACATTTTGAAATTTTTCTTTCGAAATTTCAAAATATCAAATCGATAAAGAAGGGACGGTTGGTCAAAAACACTTGGGTAATGAACAATTGGTTAAGTTAATATTTTTTTGTTTTTAAGGGCAGTTTAATCCGGTCGGGATTAAACATTTTATCTGTGCCTGGAGGGATTTGTTTTTTAGCAGTGATTATTTAAACACTCTCTCCGGGAGAGTGTTTAAAAATTTTCAGTATTTCTCAATGCTTAGATTCTGTGACTTTGTGGTTAAGTGGATAATCTTCAAGTTCTGAGGGCAGAGTTCGCTTTCTGTTCGAACCTAAACACTTTTTATACCCAAAATTTGTTTCCATCATTGTTCATTGCCTGCCCGCGATTTTAATTTCTTTTTTATTATACACTTTACTATAAACAAAAAAGAAAACGAATAAATCGAGAAAAAGGAAAAGACTTAAAAACATAAAAATAACAAAAATACTTGGCTTCAAAACGGAAAATTTTTTTCTTTTCTTTCTTAGCATGTCAAAAAAAAGAAAAAAAGTCTTTGAGGGAAGTGTCATTATCCGGTTGCTTCTTTTTCTTTGGATTTTCAACAAAAAAAAATAAATCAATGGGGATAAACAAATACATATATACACAAACACACATTAATCTCTCTTGGGGATTCTCTTTGCGTGCAAACTTTCCATGGGAAAAATTTTTAGAAAAAATCTTTTTAAGGGGTTCAGAGAATTTAGGCAAAAAGTATATGTATATTTTATTTTTATGTTAAATAATATTGTTGTTTACTTTTGATTTTATTGACCATAAAATTTTTATCACAAAAAAATTGTAAGGTGAATAAATGGACTGTTTTATCTAAAAAAGGGACTTTGGGAGGGGAATAAACTGCGATCCAAAAACAACCTCTCCCTTTTTACTATAACTATTATACTATATATTTATTTATTTAAAACCCCCAAAAATTAATTTTTAATTAAAAAAACTTTTTTTAATTAATAAGAAGAATAAAAAAAAAGATAAACCTTCAAAATTAGTAAACAGAAAAAATATATCCACAAATTTTCCACACAAAAACTAATTTCTTTCCTTCTTCTAATCACTTTCTTCTCCTTCCTCTTCACTTTCTTCACTTGAACTACTTTCACTTAATTCCAAATCTTCGTGTAAAATACTTTTTTTATTATTTTTTGAAGGCGATTTTTTGATATTTTCTGTTAAATTTTGTCCATTATTTGCCATTTTTTGTGGTGAAATTGCTTCTATTTTTATTGATGATTGTTCGACTTTTATTGAATTTAATAATGGTTGTTGTTCAGCTACAGAAATATGCGAATTGGACTGTTTTGGAGCCTAAAAATTGTTTAGAAGATCATTATAAGGTTACCCCCTTGTATCTTACTTAAATAGAGAGAAGAGGAGGGGGGAGGGTAATTCCATTTTCCCAATAGCAAAACAAATTAAAAATATGAGGAATCAAAAGGAGGCTAGATTTGAAATATTAAGATCAGAGGGCTGGGGGGGGGGGCTAAAGCCCCCCCCCCCCCGCTTAAAAATAAATGTACAAAAAATTTTGCTGTCGGAATGCCAAAGTAAAATGCCCCCTCCCCTAAAATCTCCCCTGTCTATGCCCCTAGCTTCCACTTATGCTAGTCTTCCTAAAATAGAATTTTAAAAAGAAAACCATCATCTGTTCCAAAGCTGAAGCTTCTTCATCAACGTCAAACATATCTTCATCATCCTCCTCCTCCTCTTCATTCATTGAATTTGAAGATGTTGAAAATAATCTTTCTTTTTTTATTTCTTCTTTAATTTTAATTGGAGAGGGCGGAGGCGCTTTTAATTTCATCATTTTTTCAATTTGTTCTTCTACATCAGTTGACAATTTTGCGTCTCTTAAATTTAAATCTTTAAGTATTACATAATTTTTCGGACTTTTCTTACGTAATTACACTATTTTGTAGCCAAGGCGTCCCATAACTTATATTCAGGGATGAAATGAGTATTCGACGGTTCTGGCTACCCGAATCCAATCCCAGGACTTGTTCGACACAAAATCCGAAGAAAATTTTGAAAATCCGATCCGAAACCAGACCCGACTTTTTTCTCATCCCTGAAATCTAAACAATAAAAGAATGGTGCTTCACATATTTCGTTAATTGAAAGGCTAAAGGATGAACAAGTGAAACAGAAAGGGAAGTCCTCAAAAAATCCTCCGCAAATCCACAAGTCCGAAAACCCCAAAAATAATAACACTCCCTTCAAGTGCCCATATTTAAAAATAAAATATAAAAAAACCTGCTCTTTTTAACATTAATATTAGCCGAAAGTTTCTCCAAACGAAGTTGACAAGTATTTTGATCAAAAATTAATAAACATTCCTTGTCTCCTTTCAAAGGTTTTTTTGATCCGTGGAAAATTGTTGACTTTTTTGTTTCTCCGGGAACAATAACCTTTTTTAAAAAGAAAGATTCCCTGCTGTTAAAAAAATTAAAAAAAAACCTGAACTCCGTTATTTTCCCCTGAAGAAATTGCAAGAAAAGCTTCTGACCCATCAGTGATAGAAGCAGGTTTAAAATCAACTTAAAAATAAAAAAAATCCATGTGAGTCCACAAAAAACAGGTTTTCCCTCTGACTAAGGCAAAATCTAAAGGATTTCATCCCAAAATATTTTTAACACAAAATTGGCCGTTTTTAAACTTTTATAGATGTTGACCCTTTTACAACTTTTCAAGTTAACGACCATTTCTGTCCAGGGGGTTGATTTCTCCTAAAACTACAATTCCATACGAGCAATTTAGTCAACATTGAGAAGATTTTTAAAGATCTCTCATCTCCAACAACCTCTCATTTTATCACGTTATTTCTATCAAATTAAAAATTAACTTACATCTCAAAGTGTTGAACTCAGCCTTGGAAGATTTATTATTTTTATCGCCTCTAAGAAAAGTTTCACCAATTTTTATTTCATAAGTTCCATCAGGAATAGAACACATTATTTTTTTAAAGTCTAAAATTTAAGTTTAAACAAATAAAAAAACAAAGAGAAAATCCAGTAGAAAATAAAATTTTAGAATAGATGAAATAAAAGTGCTATGGGTACACGGCGGGTTAAACAGGAAATCTTAACCGTCTCGCAACAATTTATAATCAATTAGAATGGTCCCAACGATCATCAAATGGGACCATACTGAATTATAAAACAAAAATTTTACAAAAATAATTTCCAAATAAAAATTTTCCAAAATTAAAAAACCGGCCTAACTACAGTTTCCGTACCAGACTCAAAATAAGCTCGATTAGATGATTATTAACAAAGTTATGACAAACGGAATCTTCGCTGGAAAAACTGTTTTTGAGCTGCTACGGAGGGTAGGCCGGGCATGGTCTTCGCTACACGATGGCCGTGCTTCGCTGCGGTCGTGCTCGCTTCGCTCGCGGCGACCGTAGCGAAGCGGCGGCCGTCGTTCCTCTCGACATGCCCGGCTTCCTCCGCAGCGGCAAAAACTTTTTTCCGCGAAAGCCTTATGTGAGGGGGGTGTATTTGTCCGGGATTATCATAATCTATCTATTTTCAGGATTTGGAGAGGCATTTTGTTCAATATTTAATTAAAAAGATTGGCGCCTAATCGGCCGGCGCCTAATCGGCCGCGCGCCTAATCGGCCGGCGCCTAATCGGCCCGCGCCTAATCGGGCGTGTCCCAGTAAAAATGGCTCTGGTACAAAATATCGAATAATTAAAATCTCGCTGGTTAAAGTCTCGACGCGGGTAATAAAGGGTTAAAACATCGAATTGATAAAATATCGACACGGCCAAAATGGGTTAAAATATCGACTTCTCTTAAAGAAGTCAGATAAGTACCATCCGTTGAGTTTCAAGTACGGGAATCCCCAATTTCTTCAAACGGCTTCATGAATTAGTAAGAATTTTATTTTTATTCTCCAATCTTTGTTTTTATTCTTCAATCCAGCGTAGTCTTTTATGCATAAGTTTCTGCAAAAATTGAGTGAGCTAATACAAAATTAGTGGAGCCATTCCCGAATACTTAAGAAGTAAATCAAAATAACACATGAAAACTCTCACAGTTTTGTTTGTTTTTATCATTGATCGTATAAAACAAAAATTAGGAGAAAGGGCAACTTTGGAGCGAGTTACCGTAATATCTCCAATAAAAAATATAGGCTTTATCAAAATATAGAGATCAAATATAATAAAAAAATATTAATAGCTGTGCCGACATTTGCAAATTAAATTCAAAAAGTGAAACTTGGTTGAAAGGCAGCCTAAATGGACATAAAGTAGATTAACCCCAGAAGTGTATAACTATTTCCACCGGGTTTTTTTAGAGTAACGGGGAAATGCTTGGTTGGATTCCCCTATAGAAAGGGTGGAGGATCGAACCTCGTTACCGAAAAACAATTTTCTTATTAATTTCCTGTGTTCCTTTCACGAATGTCACAGCCTAATTAATTAATTAAAATTATTTTTAAAATAAACAT